AGAAGTGACATAAAATAATGAATACCAATTGGTCTTTCATTCAGACAACAATTCAAAACTTTTTGGAGCACAGAAGATGTCAACAGTGATGCTCAACTCAGTATATACTGATGGGATAGTATTCCTCCGAACTTTGAAACTTTCCCTTGTAATTCCAGCCTTTTATTTTTCTGACAAACAATTTGTTTATAGTATTCCCGAGACTGTCAGGTGGGTACTCGTTAAGTTTTGCGTCGGTTTTTATTTTTGAAAGATGAGAGTATAATAGCAAAGGTAGAGAGTGGACAGATGTCTGATGTCTGTTGTTTCTGGGCAGTATGGCTTGAACAGATCTACAGTAGGCCACAGTTCAATCTTATCTAAGAAAGATACTATATTATCAAGATGACTCAAGCAGCTAAAGGAGTAACAAAAATTACATCTGAGAAATAAAGAACATTGAAGAGCTCATAATGGAACATGAAACGGATCTGACAACAGAAGAACGCCAAGAACTCTTAAATGAAGAACACCAAAAACTCTTAAATGAAGAACACCAAGAAACTCGGCGAGATATGTTTTCTTCTGAAAAAGAAAATTAATGTCGATATCTGCTATTAAACATTTTTTTGAAGAAGTGGGAAGATGTCAGAACAACAGTCTTAGAATGGCATCCAAATCAAGTTGAGGTTAATAGACTTGGAGATCTCTATGATGACAATACTTTTAATTACTTCCAAAAAATCTTGAAGAGAGAATAGCAATCGACATTGGACAGATTCTTTAACCCCCACAAACGGAAAAAAACATGACTAATAAAAATGCAAACCCATGTATAAAATTTGTATTTTTATTATTACATATAAACAAACGTGGTAAAATAGTATTTATTTTTTATTTTTTGGAGTCTCTGGAATGAATTAATCAAATTCCCATAAAAACCTATGGTAAATCGATAATCGGGTAACGAACAATTCGGATAGCAAACATATATATATATATATATACAGTAGAGCGTTGTTTATCCGAATCAATTGGGGAGTGAGGTTGTTTGGATAACTTATTTTTCGGATAACCAATTATATACAAAAAAATATATTAACTTATCCCATGTTGAAAATTTTCTCTGTTGTGTGTTGCTTCGCGTTGAATTTTTGTCGATGTTAAGCCTAATGTAAAGTTTTTAAAATAATAATTGTGGCTATTCTATCGTTAAAAATTATTTCTTTATTTTTTACAAACAAAATAAATATATAGAAAAATATAAAAACAAAAAAAAAAAAATTATAATTTAGAAGTTAATCTAGAATCAAAAACGTTATATTCAGCATGACACACAGTCCTCAGAAAAACACCACACAAAAGTGCCAGTGATGCCAGCTAAAACACATACACAAACATAAAAAATATTGGAGTATCCCAAGACATAGCCAAAGAATGCAGCACCACAGCACTAGCGAAAATTTAAATTTGCCAACTGGAATTCTTTTGGATAACCGACTTTCAGATAGACGACGCTCTACTGCATTTATATAACTATTTTTTTATATGCACTTCTTCAAAGTACATATAAAAAATATGGTATATAAATATATGCCATATTTTTTATATGTCATATATAAAAAGTATGTCATATATTTGTCAACATGTTAATAATTAACACTTTCTGACACATGAACTGCAGTATTTACATACATTTGTTGTTTTTTTCCTGGCTATATTTCTACCCTTTTTTTTCTTTATCCTTCTAGTAGCATATCCTCTTACTCTTTTAACATCTTTTAATAAATTCTTCATGATATGATAAATCAATAAGCAAAAATGTGCACAAGAGATTCTTTTCCCCCTATTTCAAATATGAATAGTGCTGTTATTTCTCTGAACTTAGTTATTTTCATGATCTTTCCTGTTGCTTATATAAATGTAATGTGAGCACTAACCACAGTTATTCGAAGTAAGAAGTATTATATTATTATTATTATTATTATTATTATTATTACTACTACAGTTTTTTTTCTAAATATGTCTGAAAACCTGAAAAACAAAACAAATTAAAAAAAAAGAGTCCACATATGGTTGATGTTGTCACAGATGTTTGCACACATAAATATGAATATTTGTTAATATCTTCTGAAATGTTCAAAAGATTTTAAGAAACTGCTTACTGGTTTCTTACAACAATTAGGATTTAGTTTTGGAAAAAAATTTTTGGTCCTGGGCAAAATTTTCCAGATTTTGGCTTGGCAGTCAACATGTTAATATTTAACACTTTCTGACACTTCTGCATTTCTAGTGACTTCCATTTAATGACTTTTTCTAAATTTTCCTGTTAAAATACAGTATTTAAGTAAAACCTTTATTACTATTTTATAAATATAACGATTTTGTTTAATACTGTATTGTATTGTACACTACTTGAATGAATCCTATTGCAAACAGCTCTCTTTCACTGTACATGTACTCTGTATTTCAATATTCTATTATTTAGTGATAATAAATTACCCTGTATGAAAGTATGAATTAATGTATATTGCAAAGGTGAAAAAAACTATTTCGGGGTGTGAGCTGCTCGGCTAGCGTGTGAGTGAACTTTTGAGAGGAGTTGAGACTCAGTTAACTAGAGCATGAATGTGATAATAAAGAAAGGAAAAATGACTTGTGTAAAAATTTGGAAATTTGCTAACAGGTTATCCTTGTATTTAATTATAATACTATTAATAATTGCTGAAGTTGAATCCAACCCAGGCCCTCTGGCCCGTTCCCCACAAGGATTAAGTCATTTGGAAATGCAAAAAAGGGGGCATGGCAGACCTCGCAAGGTAAGTCCAAAGGACGAGGAGAAAAAGAATCAACTAGCAGAAATTTTAAGTGATGAATTTTATCAAATAGACGGAAATAGTAAACAACTTTCGGAATCTACGAAGAGTCCGAAAATTTATGAGTACTTCGAACCAGTAAGTGAACCAGAATCACAAGTTATTGACGAACCTCAATATACATTAAAATCCATCTATAATCTAATTCAGGATAAATTTAGTCAGCTAAATATGGAGATTCAATCGATTAAATCTGAAATAAACATGTTGAAAGAAGAGAACAAGAATTACAAAGAAGAAATGAAAGGAATCAATCAAAAGCTACAAGAACTGGACGAAAAATCAAAAAATAATAATCATCTTAAAGGTATGTTGGAATTTGAAATTGATAAACTTGTAAACGAGAAAACTAAAAAGAATATAATCATTATGAACTACCCATTCAAATCACTAGATTACTTACAAGAAATTAAGTTATTCATAAATAATGATTTAAGATTAAAAAATAATGAAATAGAAGGACTAATCAAATTAAATAATAGAGAAAATAAACGTATTGTCAAAATAATTCTTGATTCTGTTAATGCAAGAAATGAGATTCTTAGAGAATTTTGGCAGTCGAAATCAAACTTAATTGGCAAGGACAAGGAAAAAATAATATTTACAGCCGATCTATGCAGACGATCGAGGAAATATCTACAGATTAGGATTAAGCAGGAAAAGTTAAATAAGAATAAAATAATAGTTAGAGATGATTATTATATAAAAGATAACTTAAGATATACGTATGACAGTAATTCAGATAAGATTATTCAAATAGACCATTTTTTAGGAGTAGTTTGATCATAGATTTAGAGGAAGTAGAGAAAAAAGACGTAATATACTTAATACTGAGACAACCCAAAATAACTCAAATTTTGTCCAGTATTCCAAAATGAGTTGGGAGAATTGTGCTGATAAGGAAAATAAGAATAATTTTATGTCTGTAAAAAATACCAACAAAAGCAGAGAGAATTCATGTATAAGTTTTTGGAATATTCAAGGACTTCGAGGAAATATGTTCAGTGAGCCAGTAAAAAATTATATAAAATCTCATACTATAAGTGACTTCTTGGAAATCTGGATTGCTGATTTCATTAAAGAAGACAAGGTGGTTCTAGAATATGAGGTTGTACAGCGGAGCTCAGAGGACAAGTAGAATGGGCCGTCCAGCAGGTGGTCGATTATTGTTAATTAAGAGGAACTTTGGTAAATTTTTTAAACACTGTATAACAGAAAAATTTATTTTTGTGGTGATCGAGCTGGATCATAGAATTAATATATGTTGGAAAAATTATATTCAGGAATTATATTTATCAATCTGTTTACTCCTTCTGAAAAGTTAATATTAAATGAAATCGAAAGAAACATCGATCAGAATTGTTAAAAATTAATAACAAAATTATCTAATTTTCTAAGAGTAATTTCCCATGGTGCTATTTAAAAATTAATTTCAAAATTCCATATGTTTTGTGGCGGTAAAGACTCAAGGAGCTAGTACAGTGTCTTGATCTATACCTTTTACCTAAATGTACTAACGGAAAAAGCTAAGTATGTAATAGTCCATATAGTCAAGATCAATACAATTTATAGACAATACAATACGATCGCAAACTCAAGTTGATGTAATAATTTTAATAACTAAACAATAATAGAAATTTAATTATATTGTACACGTGTAAAGTAAAAATGCTTTCAATTGTAACACAAATTGATCCTCTCTAAAGTGTATTTTCCAAGTTGTACTTTAAACTTATCAGTCCATGTGATAGAGATATTGGTTTAACTCGGGTTGATGAAGATGTATTTTTTAGCAATAGTAAGATTTAATTGTTACTAATATACATCCTTTGTAACAGGCCAAGGCCTTAATACGAATAAAAAAATTTGATTGATTGATTGATATATTGCAAAGGTTATAGTATTAAGTGAATTATTTTATGTTATTTATTTTTTGTTTACATTTAAAATCTGTATTAAACTCTTATCAGGATTCAGTATAATACTCTGATTACAGTTTTATATGTCAATTTTTTTCAAAACCACATCCTGGTGATTGACTACTTTATATATTGTATTATAATTCAAGCTATGTTAAAAAGTTATTAAACTTGTGAATTAATTATTTTCAACTTGCAAATAACTGTTATATATATAAAATCTCACCTTCTCTTAAAATTTTTTTCTTCGTTTTTCTTCTCATCGTTTGATCTGACGATCTTTCCGCTTCAAATATATCTCCTTCAGAAACTAAAACAAAACTATCTGTTAGTGATGTATCTGATTTGCTGATTCTCAAGCCCCTTCCTTCTTCTCCAGTATTATCTTCTGTTGCACCACTACCCACAGTATTGCTATGAAAAATAGTTGGTTTGACGACTACCGGAACTTCAGGAGGAGCAGGTTCCTCTTCTATTGTACACTGTCGACTAAGATGGCCGGCAACCGTTTTTGAATGTTGGAGTCCGTACTGCAGTCCACTTTTTGCATCCAAATGATTGTTTATATTATCATTTTCACCCTTGCTTTCCCAAGACTGTTGTGATATTGCATCACCATCATCTTCTAGAGAAACACAGTCACCTAAAATAATTTTTAAATTAAATTTTATTCATATCTAAACAATATTTTTCATTAAGAAAAAAATAAATTTTAACCTTCTTCTTTCTCTTCTTCAGATATTGAACTTCCTGAAGCACTTTTAGGTATTTTTGATACTACTACAGCAGCTGTACCATGTCGAAGAGAATTCCGCTGCAACAAACTTTCTCCAAACAAAGTTTCCTCTTGTTCTGTTCCTGCAAGGCTCATTCTTCTCACAATCTGTTCAGCTTTGCTTTCATTTACATTATTTTGTTCTTTTGTTTGATTTGTTAATTTAGATTCTTTATTTTCAATTGTTTCTAATTCTTCTACATTATCTAGTTTTATTTTATTATCCAGATCTTTTGGAACTTGAACATAATCTGTGGACCACATCTGCAGTTATAAATAGAAAAAAAAATAAGTTTAACCTCTAATAAGATGGTATAGTCCTTAGGTATTATTTCTATAATTTAATATATATTAACAAAAACAGAATAAATAATTACCCGAACAACCCCATCACTTGAGCCTGTCATCACTACATTCTGGTTATCCCATTCATTTAAATATGAAAATGCAACACACAGAATTTGTTGGGTGCGATCACTACGACCAGTAGCTGTATTAACACTAGCTATTTCTTGCCCATTAATAGTCCAAACATATAAATAAGTTCCAGCACATGTAGCAATATCACCCTGAAATAAAAGTGTTTGCATAAAAATATATATTCCAAATTTTATGTTTTAAAATTTAATTAGTGACACGCAATATTTACCGTGACATCATTGATTGCAACTGCTGCCACAGGAGCAGGATGACCTTTTAATTGTCTGACAAATGATAAATTACTTAAATCCCACATAATACAAGTACGATCTCGAGAACCGCTGACAATTAAATTGTAAGCACGTGAGGCAGCAACACAGGTTACCGGTTCACTGTGTCCATATAAATTTTGTTTGATTGTAAACTTTTTCTTATCACATTGCCAAACAGTAACCATCTAAAAATAATTTTTTAAAATGTTTATGCATAAGTAAATTGAAATTTAATTCATTTTCCACATTATTGTAATAAACTTAAAGTGCTCATACAGAATTTGTTCCGGCAGTAATGATGATTTTTTCACTAAGACAGGCACAGCAAAGAATTTCACCAGAAGGCGTATCTTCCCAGACAAATGTGGCTCGCTCACTTTCGTAATTTCCTATCCTCAAACTATGATCTGCAAAACCCCAAGCTACATAGCGATTATAGTGTGGAGGAATTAGTATTTTATTTTGTTCCACACATTGTAAAGATTTTTCTTGATGAATAATCTGGCCAACAGCACTTTTTAAATCTGTTAAAAATTAAGAATATCTGAATAATGTTTTATCTATATTTAATGTTTGTGTTTGTACAAAATACTATACCTTTTATTGAATGAGAAGATGGTCTCAGATTATCTAGATTATGAAAAAATAATTTATCCATACTATAGCTAAGACCTGGCATAATAGGACCTGGATCAACTACACTAGTTCTGTTAGTTAATTTTTTTGATGGGTGAGGCTTCTTGAAAAGCTAATTTAGAAAAATAAATTATTTTTTCATAGCAGAAGTTGCAAATTTAAAAATAAACTTAATTATTAAATAAATTTACTTGTTTAGGAATTTGTCCAAAGTTATTTATAAAACCTATAGTTGCATTTTTCTTTAATGGATCGTCAATATTGTAAATATCAACATTTCCCTCATAAAAGAGATGATGGAAGACATTGACAGCTTCCACAGCTGCAGAACCTTGTTGTTTATAACCAAAAATTAAATCGATCCACTCGTGAAGATGAGCACTCACATAATCACATTCTAAGGCCTAGAAATATTTATCTTATATATTTCTATTCTTTTATATTGAAATCATTAAGTCAAAAAATTTTAATTTATTATACCTGTCTATGAACACGAATAAATTCTCTGGCATCTCCTTTTGCCCATGAAGGTAATACAATGTCATCTAACTGAATGCCATTCTGCTTACATCCTACAATATAAAAATTTTATTGGTTAATTTATTTTATAAAAAACTAACCATTACTGTAATAAGCTTAATATAAATGATACAAGGTGTTAATAGATTTCATATTAATTAATAAGATGATGACAAATTTTCAAGATTACTTATAAATTTAAATTAATGATAAAAAATTTATTATTCAAATATATTTTGCCACTTTGGAAAACTGGGACAACACAAAATTACTAGTTTTGAGAAAATCCCATGCAAAGATTTAACCAAAGTTTAACTGAATATCACTTATCTCCCACATAACTGAATATGCAAGTTACTTTTGTGGCACTCTTACACATAAAAATTTACTAAATTTTCATTTTGATTATGACATAATTGAAAAATCACACTTTTTTGAGTTATGCCGGTTTTTTCCAAAGTAGCGATTTGTCCACCCAGAAGAGTGTGTTGTTGAGTCAATGTTTATTTTTAAGGTAATATGTGAAAAAAAAGGTAGGCAATTAACATTCATCCTTTGAGACTGTGATGGTCAAAGTTCTAATAACAGATAGTTCCAAAATTCTTAAGAAAAAATATTTAATCTTATTATCTTAAAACTATTTTCATATATTAATTAAAATAAGTTAAAAATTTATCATTCACAAAATGTCTTTATATATTCCATACATAATTTTAGGTGATTGAAAAGCTTCATTATATAATTCTAATTACAAAAATAAATATTCCTACAATATTTATGATTATTATTAAATAGTTATAATTTTTATTTACCTAGATCAAAATGATTGGAATTAATAAGAAATTCTGGTAAATAAAAAAATTCAGGAATAAGCTCCTTTACATCAGCCATGTTATGTTTGGATGCTGACAACCATGCATCCTTAATACTGTGAAACATACGATCGGCAAGATCAAAATGTCCACCCTAAAATTATAAACAACAATTATTAAAATTAAAATAATTTTTCTTTGATTTCAAAATTAAAAATATACTTTCCTGCAAACGAAGGAAGTGTTGAGTGAATGGTTCCATTCGTACCAAATAAGAAGCGACTATCATAGCAGAAGAATAGAATGTTCCATAGTGGTATGGTGGTGTTTCTCCTAAAATATTTGAATTTATGTAATATAATATAAATAAAATTAAATGTTTAAATTTTTATGTGATATTTATTATACCGTGAGGATCNTTACAGAGAACAAATATAAATATATACAGTGGGTGATTGATTAACAAACAAATCGAATAACAAACACTTTTCTGAAAGATTTTTATGTTCGGACAATGAACACATGATTGGATAACGAACACCTCACAGAAGAAGTGACATAAAATAATGAATACCAATTGGTCTTTCATTCAGACAACAATTCAAAACTTTTTGGAGCACAGAAGATGTCAACAGTGATGCTCAACTCAGTATATACTGATGGGATAGTATTCCTCCGAACTTTGAAACTTTCCCTTGTAATTCCAGCCTTTTATTTTTCTGACAAACAATTTGTTTATAGTATTCCCGAGACTGTCAGGTGGGTACTCGTTAAGTTTTGCGTCGGTTTTTATTTTTGAAAGATGAGAGTATAATAGCAAAGGTAGAGAGTGGACAGATGTCTGATGTCTGTTGTTTCTGGGCAGTATGGCTTGAACAGATCTACAGTAGGCCACAGTTCAATCTTATCTAAGAAAGATACTATATTATCAAGATGACTCAAGCAGCTAAAGGAGTAACAAAAATTACATCTGAGAAATAAAGAACATTGAAGAGCTCATAATGGAACATGAAACGGATCTGACAACAGAAGAACGCCAAGAACTCTTAAATGAAGAACACCAAAAACTCTTAAATGAAGAACACCAAGAAACTCGGCGAGATATGTTTTCTTCTGAAAAAGAAAATTAATGTCGATATCTGCTATTAAACATTTTTTTGAAGAAGTGGGAAGATGTCAGAACAACAGTCTTAGAATGGCATCCAAATCAAGTTGAGGTTAATAGACTTGGAGATCTCTATGATGACAATACTTTTAATTACTTCCAAAAAATCTTGAAGAGAGAATAGCAATCGACATTGGACAGATTCTTTAACCCCCACAAACGGAAAAAAACATGACTAATAAAAATGCAAACCCATGTATAAAATTTGTATTTTTATTATTACATATAAACAAACGTGGTAAAATAGTATTTATTTTTTATTTTTTGGAGTCTCTGGAATGAATTAATCAAATTCCCATAAAAACCTATGGTAAATCGATAATCGGGTAACGAACAATTCGGATAGCAAACATATATATATATATATATACAGTAGAGCGTTGTTTATCCGAATCAATTGGGGAGTGAGGTTGTTTGGATAACTTATTTTTCGGATAACCAATTATATACAAAAAAATATATTAACTTATCCCATGTTGAAAATTTTCTCTGTTGTGTGTTGCTTCGCGTTGAATTTTTGTCGATGTTAAGCCTAATGTAAAGTTTTTAAAATAATAATTGTGGCTATTCTATCGTTAAAAATTATTTCTTTATTTTTTACAAACAAAATAAATATATTGAAAAATATNAATTCTTAAGAAAAAATATTTAATCTTATTATCTTAAAACTATTTTCATATATTAATTAAAATAAGTTAAAAATTTATCATTCACAAAATGTCTTTATATATTCCATACATAATTTTAGGTGATTGAAAAGCTTCATTATATAATTCTAATTACAAAAATAAATATTCCTACAATATTTATGATTATTATTAAATAGTTATAATTTTTATTTACCTAGATCAAAATGATTGGAATTAATAAGAAATTCTGGTAAATAAAAAAATTCAGGAATAAGCTCCTTTACATCAGCCATGTTATGTTTGGATGCTGACAACCATGCATCCTTAATACTGTGAAACATACGATCGGCAAGATCAAAATGTCCACCCTAAAATTATAAACAACAATTATTAAAATTAAAATAATTTTTCTTTGATTTCAAAATTAAAAATATACTTTCCTGCAAACGAAGGAAGTGTTGAGTGAATGGTTCCATTCGTACCAAATAAGAAGCGACTATCATAGCAGAAGAATAGAATGTTCCATAGTGGTATGGTGGTGTTTCTCCTAAAATATTTGAATTTATGTAATATAATATAAATAAAATTAAATGTTTAAATTTTTATGTGATATTTATTATACCGTGAGGATCATCCCATTCCTTATATCGTTTCTTAAACTGTTCTAATCTATCCGGTGTTTGTGCTCCCATTGGTTTTGTAAAATCTCTAAATGTTTGTGAATCGTTTAGATCCAATTCCTATATTAAATAATATATTTATTATTTATTTCAAAATAAGAGAAAATGTATGTTAAACATTAAAAAATACCTCTGAATCATAATCTGCCAAAACCCATGGAAAAACTGGATACTGCATCAAATCATTATATGATCTTCCAGCAAGTGTGTTTAAATGCATTAGATATTGAAAATTACTTATTTCTCCCCTCTTTAAAGATAAATGACGTCAAAATAAGAAAAATCTGTTCACAGTATGACAATTTATGATAAAGAATCAAAATACTTACCACCCATCTTTGAGTAACTGATGTTTCTCCTATTAAGTTACTCAACAGACTTGCACTTAAAAAATGTCAAAATTTGATATTAAATTTTTGTATTGCATGAATTAATAATTAAAAAATAAAGTTAATATTATTAATCTCCTTTATATTTTCTTTTAAACCACACTCTTATTAATATTTTGTATAATATTTCAAATAGAACTGAAAATTGCCAACAGTTATCACTGTATTATTATTTCAAACTAAAAATATCTACTTGTATATTTTTTTTAAAATAAACTAAGACTTCAAAAATGAAGCTGAAAAACCAAAAAAAGTTTAATAACTACTGGATAATATTGGGCTACTTTTCCATGATTATATTTAATAAATTTATAAATTTGTCCTAGAGGGAGGTGCTAGGCAACATCTCTTAATAAAATGAATAATTATAATTAAATTAAATAATTTAGAATATTCTTAAAAAAAAGAATCAACCTAGAATGGGACTGACTAAGAGATGGCAACTAACGTCTCCCTCTAAGACAAATTATTTAGAAATTAATTAAATATAGTCACAAAAAAGTAGCCTGATGTTATCTGGTAGTTATTTGGCTTATTACAAATATATCAAGTTTAGAGATGTTTGTATATGCAGGGTTCCTACTCAAATTTTTGTTTTAAATTCCCTGACTTTCCCTGACCAACTTTGTACAAATTCCCTGACCCTCATGTCCCTTACAGTATGGCACATTAACAAAATAAAACATTACTCAACTTACTATGCACATATACTAGTGCTTCTCCAAGTTTTTAACTGGTTATTTTTCTAATTAACAGTTATATATTTTTTATGATCAATGAATTAGTAAAATCAAAAATAAATAAGAAAGGCAGAATTATGGCATGTCTTCTCTATACAAAACTAAAATGTTTTATTAAATAATAATTTATTCTGTTATTAACTCATAACTGTAAAACATCATAGTTTTCAAAAAAAGAAAAAAGCCATTAATTATTATTAAAAGAATTCAGTATAATCCATGTACAAAAGTACAAATTTATTAAATTTGTCTAATAAATTTTCAAAACTTTATAAAATATTAATAAACTGGGAAAAGTTTCAGAAATCAGAAATTGTTTTGTTATGTGATCAAAATTATTAAAATGATAAATGATAAATAATACCATTTGAATTAATATTAAGTTATTTATCATTTTTGGTTCTTTGTTATCATTTTTTTCCATCAGTTCATTAACAGATTCCCTCAAACTGAAAGTGTAAATTGCAAGAAATAGAAAGTTAAAATATTTCAAAATTTTTTTATCAACATTAAATTATTAAGAGTATTAGATTTTTCTCTCAAACTTATAATACTGCATAATTAATACAGCAGTTTTAAAATCTAAAAGTATTTTAAAATTTAAAAATAACAATTAATATTACTGTATGCTTGTATATTTTGTGCGCTATAATTTTGGGGAAAATTTTGGTTCCTGAAAATATTCTGCACTCCCTTTTCATAGTTATATTGTTCCACAATACTTCTGGCTGCCTGTAGACAGCTACACTTGGTCAGTCATGCCGTCAGCAAACAAAATCAACAAGGCAACCAAGGAAACAAATTCCCTGACTTTCCATAACTTTTTCAGAACAATAATGTAAATCCCTGACTTTCCAGGTGCATACGAACCCTGTATATGTATAAAGAAAGTTTAAATGAATATTTATTTTTATTAGATTAAAATTTGAGAAACTGAAAAATATGCATTCTTAATGCATATTTATATAATCTTCATTTAACCAATTTTAAACTTTTAAGTTGACACATTATCTGATGATTTCTGATGATCTGATGACAATAAAGTAATAAAACTAGTTATTAAAACTTTTAAAGTTTACTATGTGAAATAAATTTACCAATATTAATAATCATTAACATACTATAATATGCCAACTGAAATATCTTTAAATGAAATATCACCAAATGATCTGCAATATTATCAGGCTATATTGAGGCTAAATTAATAATTAGTTATAAAATAATTTGACTAGAGTTAGGTGATAATAGAGTGAATCATTTGGCTTTAATTAAAATATCCAATCTGTGATTGTTTAAGTAGCACCTTAATGAAAAAGTAAATGTTAACTAATGTTTGCTGTTTTAACAAAAATGATTGTAGTTATTTATTCTGAAAACAGAATAATTATTAATTTTTTTTATAATTATTTTCTACATAATAAAAGTGTAGTGTGACCTAAAAATCAGTTAACTAACTGCTTGAATAAACTATCAGTAAATTATAACTTTTGAACATTCTATTTGTGTACCAAATAAAGATCTCATTTAAAATAATTTTTTATCAAGTTTTCAATAATACAGAAATTTAATCTTTACAGTAGTTAACTGATATTTGGGCATTCTGTATACTATAAAAAATAAAATTAGTTAAATTACTATTGTTATAAAAGAAAAATTTTTTACAAGATAGCATTTTCATCTCAAAAAAAAAATTAAAATTTACCTGGATTCAACATTTGCACCTCTTTTTTGGCCAGATAATGAATCTTGAGCATTATCTGTTATTGCTGTTGCTACACTTAAGAATCTGAATGATCATAAATACTTTAAGTATAACTGTTAGCTGGTATTGATTATTTAAACTCAATTAAATCCAATAAAATAGATTTAATAATATTATTCATACATTACCTCGCATAAACTTTATTTCTTACTTTACGTGGAAAGGCCAAAAGATAATTTCTTCCATCAGCAGAAAATACTTCCAAAGCTATAGGCTGAATAAAAATATAACTTTTATTCTTTTATTAGTTACAATTTAAATATTTATATTTAAACATTTAAAATAGTAATTTAATAAACCTGTAAAAGGTATCTTCTTTTATGCACTTCTCTTATGTCATCGTACGAAAACTTACTACACCTATATTAAAATTAAAATATTACACAATTTATCATCGTTATTATAAAAATTACTATAAAAAATTACAAAAATTACATTTTTATAATAAATTGAATCTTATACATACATTCTTTTTTGATGTTTGCTTCTTGGTGATGAATTGGGTATAATAGGATCATGCATACTAAAAAAATAGTATAAGAATGTCAATTATTAAATTGTTACATTTATTAACAGTAATAATGCTAAAATCTTGTACTTACTTGGCAGGTAAAGAATCAATATCTCTAATCTCTCGTGTTTTTAACAATGTAAATCCATCAACGACGTAAAAATGTTCTTTTCCAAATAACAGCAGTCCTTCACATGTATCAAGACCTTGAATTCTTGCACAACGAAACATATGGCTAATCTATAATTATTTTTAAAAAAACAATATAAAATGAATATTTGTTATTAGTAAATTTTCAAAAGTCAAAAATCTATTTGTATACTTACCTAGAATGGGACTGACTAAGAGATGGCAACTAACGTCTCCCTCTAAGACAAATTATTTAGAAATTAATTAAATATAGTCACAAAAAAGTAGCCTGATGTTATCTGGTAGTTATTTGGCTTATTACAAATATATCAAGTTTAGAGATGTTTGTATATGCAGGGTTCCTACTCAAATTTTTGTTTTAAATTCCCTGACTTTCCCTGACCAACTTTGTACAAATTCCCTGACCCTCATGTCCCTTACAGTATGGCACATTAACAAAATAAAACATTACTCAACTTACTATGCACATATACTAGTGCTTCTCCAAGTTTTTAACTGGTTATTTTTCTAATTAACAGTTATATATTTTTTATGATCAATGAATTAGTAAAATCAAAAATAAATAAGAAAGGCAGAATTATGGCATGTCTTCTCTATACAAAACTAAAATGTTTTATTAAATAATAATTTATTCTGTTATTAACTCATAACTGTAAAACATCATAGTTTTCAAAAAAAGAAAAAAGCCATTAATTATTATTAAAAGAATTCAGTATAATCCATGTACAAAAGTACAAATTTATTAAATTTGTCTAATAAATTTTCAAAACTTTATAAAATATTAATAAACTGGGAAAAGTTTCAGAAATCAGAAATTGTTTTGTTATGTGATCAAAATTATTAAAATGATAAATGATAAATAATACCATTTGAATTAATATTAAGTTATTTATCATTTTTGGTTCTTTGTTATCATTTTTTTCCATCAGTTCATTAACAGATTCCCTCAAACTGAAAGTGTAAATTGCAAGAAATAGAAAGTTAAAATATTTCAAAATTTTTTTATCAACATTAAATTATTAAGAGTATTAGATTTTTCTCTCAAACTTATAATACTGCATAATTAATACAGCAGTTTTAAAATCTAAAAGTATTTTAAAATTTAAAAATAACAATTAATATTACTGTATGCTTGTATATTTTGTGCGCTATAATTTTGGGGAAAATTTTGGTTCCTGAAAATATTCTGCACTCCCTTTTCATAGTTATATTGTTCCACAATACTTCTGGCTGCCTGTAGACAGCTACACTTGGTCAGTCATGCCGTCAGCAAACAAAATCAACAAGGCAACCAAGGAAACAAATTCCCTGACTTTCCATAACTTTTTCAGAACAATAATGTAAATCCCTGACTTTCCAGGTGCATACGAACCCTGTATATGTATAAAGAAAGTTTAAATGAATATTTATTTTTATTAGATTAAAATTTGAGAAACTGAAAAATATGCATTCTTAATGCATATTTATATAATCTTCATTTAACCAATTTTAAACTTTTAAGTTGACACATTATCTGATGATTTCTGATGATCTGATGACAATAAAGTAATAAAACTAGTTATTAAAACTTTTAAAGTTTACTATGTGAAATAAATTTACCAATATTAATAATCATTAACATACTATAATATGCCAACTGAAATATCTTTAAATGAAATATCACCAAATGATCTGCAATATTATCAGGCTATATTGAGGCTAAATTAATAATTAGTTATAAAATAATTTGACTAGAGTTAGGTGATAATAGAGTGAATCATTTGGCTTTAATTAAAATATCCAATCTGTGATTGTTTAAGTAGCACCTTAATGAAAAAGTAAATGTTAACTAANCTCATGTCCCTTACAGTATGGCACATTAACAAAATAAAACATTACTCAACTTACTATGCACATATACTAGTGCTTCTCCAAGTTTTTAACTGGTTATTTTTCTAATTAACAGTTATATATTTTTTATGATCAATGAATTAGTAAAATCAAAAATAAATAAGAAAGGCAGAATTATGGCATGTCTTCTCTATACAAAACTAAAATGTTTTATTAAATAATAATTTATTCTGTTATTAACTCATAACTGTAAAACATCATAGTTTTCAAAAAAAGAAAAAAGCCATTAATTATTATTAAAAGAATTCAGTATAATCCATGTACAAAAGTACAAATTTATTAAATTTGTCTAATAAATTTTCAAAACTTTATAAAATATTAATAAACTGGGAAAAGTTTCAGAAATCAGAAATTGTTTTGTTATGTGATCAAAATTATTAAAATGATAAATGATAAATAATACCATTTGAATTAATATTAAGTTATTTATCATTTTTGGTTCTTTGTTATCATTTTTTTCCATCAGTTCATTAACAGATTCCCTCAAACTGAAAGTGTAAATTGCAAGAAATAGAAAGTTAAAATATTTCAAAATTTTTTTATCAACATTAAATTATTAAGAGTATTAGATTTTTCTCTCAAACTTATAATACTGCATAATTAATACAGCAGTTTTAAAATCTAAAAGTATTTTAAAATTTAAAAATAACAATTAATATTACTGTATGCTTGTATATTTTGTGCGCTATAATTTTGGGGAAAATTTTGGTTCCTGAAAATATTCTGCACTCCCTTTTCATAGTTATATTGTTCCACAATACTTCTGGCTGCCTGTAGACAGCTACACTTGGTCAGTCATGCCGTCAGCAAACAAAATCAACAAGGCAACCAAGGAAACAAATTCCCTGACTTTCCATAACTTTTTCAGAACAATAATGTAAATCCCTGACTTTCCAGGTGCATACGAACCCTGTATATGTATAAAGAAAGTTTAAATGAATATTTAATTTTATAAGTTTGGTACCCAGTTTGTAAAGGTTTCTAAATTAAGGAAGTTAATCCATATATACTAAACTTCATTATTTTTATACAGAATTAAATAGATATATTTATAAAAATTTATTAAACAGTAGGTAATACAAGAAATAAAAATATCAATTTCGTCTTTATTTATTCTCTTGTTGATTTTATAATAATATGAATAATTATGTAGCTTGATAATCATTACAATATGAAATTTGTACTGTAGTACATTATTCTCAATTATTATAAAATATTAATTTAAATGACTGACAGTTTTAATTTCAATTATTTTAAATTTGAATGCACGTTTTCAGTTAACAAACAACATATTATAACAGATTTATTCTGTTTAATAAGCTAAATAATGTTGTTATACAATCTATCAGAAAACTAAAACTTTATCACAAACAGTCTATAGACTAGTACTGATCTGAGAACCATGCTTTAATGTTGCGATTTAAACAAGGTTAATTAAAAGCATTTTAATGATGCATATTGCAAACAACTTAGAATAAGTGTTTTATATAAAAGCAGTTTATATAACGGATTTTTGTTTTCATCTAACGATATAAAATACCATATATTTATAAAAGAAATCATTCTATTAGTAATCAAATTTCAATTACTAATTAATTAATTAATTAATCAATGTATTTTTCAATTTCCCTAAAACTGTTACTTCAGAAAATGCAACATGTTCACATTAAAAGACTGTATTTGCAGCAAATACTGTACAGTAGAGCCTCGAAAACTCGGCCTAATGTGGACCGAAGGGTGGCCGAGTTTGTGAAAATGCCGGGTTATCGGGAATGAGGTTAAAAAAATAAGTATGAGTGTTTCCTCAGAAAATACTGTACTGTACTTGTATGTATTGTTTACTTGAGAATACAACAGAGAATAAACTGCCCGAATACCCTTAAACAAAGGAAAAGTACGTTTTTTATAGAGCCTTTACTACATGAAAGTGAAATTAATGAATACACTGTGTACAGTAATTTACCTGATAAGACAGACCTCAGAAAAATACTTTATGAGGAATAAAGCTGTCTTTATCATGAAAATTAATTAACTAAGGATTTTTTTGCCCTGCCAGGGTGTTGCCGAGTTATCCGGAGTGCCGGGTTATCGAGTGCCGAGTTTTCGAGGTTCTACTGTAT